ACTGGGAAAACCTGGAGCCACATGGGGGTCCCGAAACATGGAGAGCCAGGATGTTGGACGTGGTGCTGGAAACCCTCATGCACCAACATGTTAAGGACACTACCAGAGTGAGAGGGGAGGATGAACCAGCAAGATTGGACCTTGTGTTCACCCTGGGGAGCTCAGATATTAAGGACATCAAGTATGAGAGTCCCCTAGGAGCTAGCGACCACGTGGTTCTGTGCTTTGAATACATAGTAGAGCTGCAAGTGGAGAGAATAACAGGAGTTGAATAGGAAAAGCCTGACTATAAAAGAGGGGACTACATAGGGTTGAAGAACTTCCTGCGGGAGGTCCAGTGGGACAGAGAACTGGCAGGAAAACCAGTAAATGAAATGATGGAATATGTAACAACAAAATGCAAGGAGGCAGTGGAAAGGTTTATTCCCAAGGGCAACAGTAACAACGGGAAGTCCAGAACGAGCCCCTGGTTTATCCGACGGTGTAAGGAGGCAAAAACAAAGTGCAATAGAGAATGGAAAAAGTACAGAAGGCAGAGAAACACACGAAAATAGGGAAATCAGTCGCAGAGCCAGGAATGAGTACGCACAGGTAAGGAGGGAGGCCCAGCGACAGTATGAAAATGACATAGCATCGAGAATCAAGACTGACCCGAAACTGTTGTATAGCCACATCAGGAGGAAGACAACAGTCAAAGACCAGGTGATCAGATTAAGGACAGAAGGTGGAGAACTCACAAGAAATGATCAGGAGGTATGTGAGGAGCTGAACAGGAGATTTAAGGAAGTTTTTACAGTAGAGACAGGAAGGGCTGTGGGAAGACAGCACAGAAGGGAACATCAAGAGGGAATATACCAACAAGTGTTGGATGACATACGAACAACTGAGGAGGAGGTGAAGAAGCTCTTAAGTGACCTTGACACCTCAAAGGCGATGGGACCGAACAACATCTCCCCATGGGTCCTTAGAGAAGGAGCAGAGATGCTGTGCGTGCCTCTAACCACAATCTTCAACACATCCCTTGAAACTGGGCAACTACCTGAGAAATGGAAGACAGCTAATGTAGTCCCCATATTTAAGAAAGGAAACAGAAACGAGGCACTAAACTACAGACCTGTGTCTCTGACATGTATTGTATGCAAAGTCGTCGAACACCTGGAAAGGAACAAGATTATAAATGAAAACCAGCATGGGTTCATGGAAGGCAAATCTTGTATCACAAACCTCCTGGAGTTTTATGACAAGGTAACAGAAGTAAGACACGAGAGAGAGGGGTGGGTAGATTGCGTTTTCCTAGACTGCAGGAAGGCCTTTGACACAGTTCCCCACAAGAGATTAGTGCAGAAGCTGGAGGATCAGGCGCACGTAAAAGGGAGGGCACTGCAATGGATAAGAGAATACCTGACAGGGAGGCAGCAACGAGTCATGGTACGTGAAGAGGTATCACAGTGGGCGCCTGTTACGAGCGGGGTCCACAGGGGTCAGTTCTAGGACCAGTGCTATTTTTGATATATGTGAACGACATGATGGAAGGAATAGACTCTGAAGTGTCCCTGTTCGCAGATGACGTGAAGTTGATGAGAAGAATTAAATCGGACGAGGATGAGGCAGGACTGCAAAGAGACCTGGACAGGCTGGACATGTGGTCCAGCAACTGGCTTCTCGAATTCAATCCAGCCAAATGCAGTCATGAAGATTGGGGAGGGGCAAAGAAGACCGCAGACAGAGGTGGACAAAGACTACAGACCTCACTCAGGGAGAAAGACCTTGGGGTGACCATAACACCGAGCACATCACCGGAGGCACACATCAACCAAATAACCGTTGCAGCATACGGGCGCCTGGCAAACCTGAGAATAGCGTTCCGATACCTTAATAAGGAATCGTTCAAGACACTGTACACTGTGTATGTTAGGCCCATACTGGAGTATGCAGCACCAGTCTGGAACCCACACCTGGTCAAGAACGTCAAGAAGTTAGAGAAAGTACAAAGGTTTGTAACAAGGCTAGTCCCAGAGCTCAAGGGAATGTCGTACGAGGAAAGGTTAAGGGAAATCGGACTGACGACACTGGAGGACAGAAGGGTCAGGGGAGACATGATAACGACTTACAAGATACTGCAGGGAATAGACAAGGTGGACAGAGATAGGATGTTCCAGAGAGGGGACACAGGGACAAGGGGTCACAACTGGAAACTGGAGACTCAGACGAGTCACAGGGACGTTAGGAAGTATTTCTTCAGTCATAGAGTTGTCAGCAAGTGGAATAGCCTAGCAAGTGAAGTAGTGGAGGCAGGAACCATACATAGTTTTAAGAAGAGGTATGACAAAGCTCAGGAAGCAGAGAGAGAGAGGATCCAGTAGCGATCAGTGAAGAGGCGGGGTCAGGAGCTGAGTCTCGACCCCTGCAACCACAATTAGGTGAGTACAATTAGGTGAGTACACACAATGGTGGACACACTAACTGAGGTGGCCAGAAGAGCTCATACGGGTAGAGAAAAGTTACTAGTTATGTGTAATTTCAATCATAAGGAGAATGACTGGAAAAACCTAGAGCCACATGAGGGTCCCGAAACATGGAGAGCCAGGATGATTAATGTGGTACTGGAAAACCTCATGCATCAACATGTTAGGGACACTACTAGAAAGAGAGAGGTGAGGATGAACCAGCAAGACAAGTCCTCGTATTCACTGTGAGTAGTTCGGACATCGAGGACATCACATACGAAAGGACCCTCGGAGCTAGTGATCACGTGGTTCTGAACTTTGAATACGAAGTAGAGTTACAAGTGGAGAGAGTAGCAGCAGTAGGATGGGAGAAGCCAAACTACGAAAAGGGGGACTACACAGGCATGGGAACTTCCTGCAAGAGATTCAGTGGGAAAGAGAACTGGTAGGAAAAACAGCAAACAAAATGATGGACTACGTGACAAGATGTTTGGAGGCAGAGGAGAGGTTTGTTCCCAAAGGCAACAGAAATAATGGGAAGACCAGAACGAGCCCTTGGTTCACCCAAAAGTGTAGGAAGGAAAAAACTAAATGTGCTAAAAAATGGAAAAAAGTACAGAAGACAAAGGACCCAGGAAAATAAGGAGATTAGTCGAAGAGTCAGAAACGAAAATGCACAGATAGGGAGGGAGGCCCAACAACAATACAAAACGACATAGCATCGAAAGTCAAGTCTGACCCAAAGCTGTTGTATAGCCACATCAGGAGGATAACAATAGTGAAGGACCATGTAATCAGGTTGAGGAAGGAAGGTGGAGAGCTCATAAAAAACGACCAAGAAGTATGTGAGGAGCTCAACATGAGATTTAAAGAAGTATTTACGGTGGAGATAGAAAGGAATCTGGGATATCAGAATAGGGGAGTACACCAAGGGATACACAAACAAGTGCTGGATGAAATACACACAACCGAGGAAGAAGTGAAGAAGCTCCTACAGGAACTTGATACCTTAAAGGTGGTGGGACCGGACAATATCTCTTCCTGGGTTCTTAGAGAGGGAGCAGAAACGCTGTGTGTGCCAATAACAATCTTCAACACATCCATAGAAACTGGGCAACCTTAGGTATATAAGATGGCAAATGTAGTCCCAGTTTTTAAAAAAAGAGACAGACACAAGGCATTAAACTACAGACCAGTGTCACTGACGTGTATAGTTTGCAAAGTCATGGAGAAGATTATCAGGAGTAGAGTGGTGGAGCACCTAGAAAGGAACAAACTTATAAATGATAACCAGCACTGTTTCAGGGAAAGAAAATCCTGTATCACAAACCTAGTGGAGTTCTATGAAAAGGTAACAGAAGTAAGACATGAGAGAGAAGGGTGGATAGACTGCATTTTCATGGACTGCAATAAGGCCTTCGACACAATTCCTCACAAGAGATTAGTGCAGGGAGGCAACAACGAGTCATGGTACGTGACGAAGTGTCAGACTGGGCGCCTCTGACGAGCGGGGTTCCACAAGTGTCAGTTCTAGGACCAATGTTGTTTTTTTTTATATATGTGAATGACATGACGGAAGGGATAGACTCAGAAGTGTCCCTGTTTGTAGATGATGTTAAGTTAATGAGGAGAATTAAATCTGAGGAGGATCAGGCAGGACTACAAAGGGACCTGGACGGCTTGCATGCCTGGTCCAACAACTAACTCTTGGAATTTAACCTTAACATATGCAAGGTCATGAAGATCCGGAAAGGGCAAAGAAGACCGCAGACAGAATATAGGCTAAGTGGCCAAAAACTGCAAATCCACTCAAGGAAAAGGATCTTGGGGTGAGTATAATACATAACACATCTCCCGAGGCACACATCAGTCAGATAAATGCTGCAGCATATGGGCGCCTGGCAAACCTGTGAATAGCGTTCCGATACCTCAGTAAGGAATCGTTCAAGACTCTGTACACTGTGTATGTCAGGCCCATATTGGAGTATGCAGCACCAGTTTGGAACCCACACCTGGTCAAGCACGTCAAGAAATTAGAGAAAGTGCAAAGGTTTGTAACAAGACTAGTCAAGGAGCTAAGGGCAATGTCCTACGAGAAAAGGTTAAGGAAAATCGGCCTAACGACACTGGAGGATAGAAGGGTTAGGTAAGACATGATAACGACATATAAAATACTGCGAGGAATTAACAAGGTGGAGAAAGACAGGATGTTCCAGAGATAAGACACAGAAACAAGGAGTCACAATTGGAAGTTGAAGACTCAGATGAGTCAAAGGGATGTTAGGAAGTATTTCTTCAGTCATAGAGTTGTCAGGAAGTGGAACAGTCTGGAAAGTGACGTAGTGGAATCAGGATCTATACATAGTTGTAAGACCAGGTTTGATAAAGCTCATGGAGCAGGTAGAGAGGGGACCTAGTAGTGATCAGTGAAGAGGCGGCGGCAGGAGCTATGAATCGACCCTGCAACCACAGTTAGGTGAGCACACACACATACAAGTGCGCGCGCGCATTCTCTCGGCAATTATTCTGGTTAACCTGAGGTTTGGTAATTACTTGTCTGGGTTGACAGGTGTGTGACCACTGAGGTAGGCTGAGGTGTGTCGCTCCTTGGCTCCCCCCACCTGTTGGTGATCAACACTTCAGTACATATTACAGTTTAGAAACTATTTATCACAGCTGATACTTAACACAATTAACACTTTATTCGTCTCATTTGTCGCTTTACTCACACGCTGTAAAACCGTGAATATCTTTCTTAGCTCATATTCGTTCAAGACTCTGTACAGTGTAGTAGCCCTATTTAGTTCCAGCACCAGTTTGGACCAAACCTTCAGCACGTCAAGAAATAAGAATTTCCTAGTTTGTAAACAAGACTAGTGACTGGTCCACATTCCGTGACGAGCAATTAATAAAATCGCTACCACTTGGGTGCGTTAGTATTACATGACGATATAAGTACTCAGAAGTCGTGTGGGCGCCTGAGGACTTTTACCCAGAATAAACACAGAAACAAGGAGTCACTTGGAATTGAAACTCGTTGGCAGGGATTTAGAAGAAACTTTGTCTAGATCTTAGGACTGAACATCAATCTATGTCAGACAAAGTAACCAGTTGTAACGGACTGCAGTAGAAACTGTAGTGCATGATGAAAGCCGGAGAGCTAAATCGTTCTCTGAGAATTAGTAGCACACAAATACAATGCCAGCGGCGCATGCCTACACCAATACAAGGAATGAGTTTGAATACTTGTCTGGGTGCGGTAACTATCTGATGTGTCGTTTGTCTGTTGTGACACATTAGTAATATTACAGTATTTAGAAAAAACTATTATATCCACACTGATAACTGACACAATTAACATAGATCACTAGCGCTTACTATCACGCTATGTCACATAATCATTGACTATATTCTAACTCGATCTACGTGATTTCACATTATTAGCGAAAATGTACAATTAAAACATACATACCGTTTATAATAAAGCTGCTGTACTGACCTCCACGTTACTCACATATCGAGCTAAATATACAACTATATTGTACACTCACAAAGGCTTTCAGATTGCTCACTTGACCTGCACATAGCCTCACATCAGACCAAACAAGATATGGCATGAAATGACCCACATATACCCAGATATGACCTCACTATGGCCTCACATTGACCTAAAGAACCATGACGTAATGACCTCACAAATTGCCTCCATATGACAAAAAATGACCTCAACATAATCACATATGTACGTCACATATGGCCTCACAATGCCTCACATTACCTCACACATATGACACCACATATGGCTCACATAACTCACATATTACCTAATTATGTACCTTCACAAAGCCTCACATAATGACCTCACATAATGACCTCACATACTCCTCACATATACCTCACATATGACCATAAATATGACCTCACATATCGACCTCACATATACCTAATAAGACGTCACAAAATGACCCAAATATGAACTCACATATGACCTCACATATGACCTCACATATGACCTCACATATGACCTCACATATGACCTCACATATGACCTCACATATGACCTCACATATGACCTCACATATGACCTCACATATGACCTCACATATGACCTCACATATGACCTCACATATAAACCTCACATATGACCTCACATATGACCTCACATATGACCTCACATATGACCTCACATATGGCCTCACATATGACCTCACATATGACCTCACATATGACCTCACATATGACCTCACATATGACCTCACATATGACCTCACATATGACCTCACATATGCCTCACATATGACCTCACATATGACCTCACATATGACCTCACATATGACCTCACATATGACCTCACATATGACCTCACATATGACCTCACATATGGCCTCACATATGACCTCACATATGACCTCACATATGACCTCACATATGACCTCACATATGACCTCACATATGACCTCACATTATGCCTCACATATGACCTCACATATGACCTCACATATGACCTCACATATGACCTCACATATGGCCTCACATATTGCCTCACATATGACCTCACATATGACCTCACATATGACCTCACATATGACCTCACATATGACCTCACATATGACCTCACATATGACCTCACATATGACCTCACATTGACCTCACATATGACCTCACATATGACCTCACATATGACCTCACATATGCCTCACATATGACCTCACATATGGCCTCACATATGGCCTCACATATGACCTCACATATGACCTCACATATGACCTCTCATATGACCTCACATATGACCTCACATATGACCTCACATATGGCCTCACATATGACCTCACATATGGCCTCACATATGACCTCACATATTGCCTCACATATGACCTCACATATGACCTCACATATAACCTCACATATGTAAAATAATGGAACATGAGTAATACATCCCATTATTTTTTATTCATTACTTTTAAATATTTGACGTAATATCTCAGCTTTATTAGTCTTATATTGTTCCATTAATTTTACTATTCTTTGATAATGTGAGAAATTATGAAAGCGCCTGGAATTTCATTATGTTTCACTGGTAATTTTACAAGTGCGCTTCAAAATTTTTAATTAGAGTACGTATTGATCCTGGTAAGAGAAACATGTTCTAATAATGTAATACAACCACAAACAGGAGATCTTAATAATGCAGAACCACATGAGAATGGAAATTTTTAGCTCTAGATTTTTCACACTGTCGTGCGTCATCAGGAGCTGTGTGTGGTGCAAGACAGCAACAAACAGGAAGGTAAATGTCTGTGGCAGTGATACTTTCTTCCTTCCCTTAGACAATCTCCCCTTATACCTGTTGCTATCTTGCTACACTGTATTGCTCCTGACGACGCTCGAGAGCGCGAAAGATCTAGACCTAAAGATTTCCATCCAGATCTGTGTGGCTTGTTCTGCATATTTAGGAGAAATATCTAAGGTTACATATGTCTGTTTTATGCCCCTGTGACCTCTAAGCTGGAAGCACGGAACACATCAGTAGCTATAAGGGATAACATTTTTCTCGAAATTTTAACTCCGGAGGATTATCCACCTTGGATAACCCAAGAAAGTCAGTGCATCATCGAGGACTGTCTTATTTCCATTGTGGTCCTTAAATTTTCTCCCCCAGGATGTGACCCACAACAGTCGACTAACACCCTGGTACCTATTTACTAGGTGAACGGGGACAAGAGGTATAAGGAAACACGCCCAATTTTTCCACTCTTGCCGGAGATCGAAGCGATCCCCAGCAAGGATGTGAAGCGAGAGTGTTGCCTTCCAAGTACACCACATTAATTATGCCTTTGCTAACCTGAGACATCTCATGGACTGGAACAGAACTGGTCTCATCATACCCGAAAACTACAGAACTGTCTGCAATTCAGTCTAATGATACCACTCAACAGAACGTAGGATCATTCCTGGGTTTCTTCCCACTTGCATCTTTCCTCTACTCTAAATGATACAAACAAAACACGCCCACATTCTTCTCCATCAGCAGACCGAAATTCCAGCTTCAGTAATCCATTAGATCTACTGCAGTGATTCTCGATCCTTACATCCAACTATACTTTCCTCCACCACCGTAAGTCTGAGTTTACGTGTGTAGAAACTGAAGACGTGATACAAACTAACCACTGTACCGGTAAGGTTTGAACCAATGGCGGCTTTGAAGAGACTTGAGCTAGAATTCGCCAGAGCCAATGCTTGTGGGAGATTCATTTGTACAAACTTGCATTTATGGTCAAAGTGGGGCCCATGTTAACCTCCCTATAGTGTATAAATCTAGCTAGTTGAATGAATCTTATTGTAGCCAGCTGACCCAGTGGCTTACACACTCCACTGGAGTTTTACCACTCACTCAAAATGGGTTCAAACTCCACCCGTTCCGTGGTTTGTTTACAATCGTGGTATTACAATTGTAAACGTGAATTGTGATGCAAACTACTTGAGGAAGAAACATGTTTAACAGTTTAGCATTTTGTAAAACACACTGGAAGTAAAACCATCACTGCAACACCTGAGTTAACTACCAGCACAACACCTGAGTTAACTACCAGCACAACACCTGAGTTAACTACCAGCACAACACCTGAGTTAACTGCCAGCACAACACCTGAGTTAACTACCAGCACAACACCTGAGTTAACTACCAGCACAACACCTGAGTTAACTACCAGCACAACACCTGAGTTAACTACCAGCACAACACCTGAGTTAACTACCAGCACAACACCTGAGTTAACTACCAGCACAACACCTGAGTTAACTACCAGCATGACACCTGAGTTAAGTACCAGCACAATACCTGAGTTAACTACCAGCATAACATCTGAGTTAACTACCAGCATAACACCTGAGTTAACTACCAGCATAACACCTGAGTTAACTACCAGCACAACACCTGAGTTAACTACCAGCACAACACCTGAGTTAACTACCAGCACAACACCTGAGTTAACTACCAGCATAACACCTGAGTTAACTACCAGCATAACACCTGAGTTAACTACCAGCACAACACCTGAGTTAACTACCAGCACAACACCTGAGTTAACTACCAGCACAACACCTGAGTTAACTACCAGCACAACACCTGAGTTAACTACCAGCATAACACCTAAGTTAACTACCAGCACAACACCTGAGTTAACTACCAGCACAACACATGAGTTAACTACCAGCACAACACCTGAGTTAACTACCAGCACAACACCTGAGTTAACTACCAGCACAACACCTGAGTTAACTACCAGCAAACACTGAGTTAACTACCAGCATAACACTGAGTTAACTACCAGCATAACACCTGAGTTAACTACCAGCACAACACCTGAGATAACTACCAGCACAACACCTGAGTTAACTACCAGCACAACACCTGAGTTAACTACCAGCATAACATCTGAGTTAACTACCAGCAAACACCTGAGTTAACTACCAGCATAACACCTAGTTAACTACCAGCACAACACCTGAGTTAAACTACCAGTCAACAAACACCTGAGTTAACTACCAGCAAACATCTGAGTTAACTACCAGCATAACACTGAGTTAACTACCAGCATAACACCCCGAGTTAACTACCAGCATAACAATTGAGTTAACTAACAGCATAACACCTTAGTTAACTACC